TTGAACTTTGATTCAAAAGAAATAACTGGAAGACTTGGGAACACAGGTCCCACAGTTACACACAGCAATAATCAGCACACTGAAGAACAGCGGCCCCCTTCGAAGAGCAATATGATCCCCAGGGTCTCAGGCTCTGTACCCACAGCATAGAGGCCCACAGCTGTGTTGGAGCTCACTGCACAAGCAGTGTCGACTGGTCTGTGTCACAATTTATGCTACTTGCTAGGCTCTTAAAGGCAGACACATTAGCCAACTGTGTGCTATATTATGGTTCAAGTCCTAGTTCTCAAAGTCAAGAGTTAAGTACAGAATGCCTGATAAGAGCCGGATATTTGGGTTGCCCATGGAGCCCCAACACACATTTATGGTCCGTCTTTGTACTTCTGCACCGCACCTGATGCACTATGCTGTGTTTGTTGACTGAATAGTTGCCCCCACTTGAATGCAACTCCATGAAGGCAATGGAGGTAGGGATTCCGCTTTGTGCACTGTTGTAACCCCGTTCCCTGACATTGCTTGTGCCACCTTTAATAACCGTCAATAAATATTGAATGAATGAACGCCAGGTGCTCATCAGAAGATAAGACAGGATCAGTGCCCCCAAGTCATTCTCGAGATAGAGGACAGACACAAGGCTGCTTGGCACAGTTAGCACAGAAAATGGCCCAGGAAACAGAGATTGCAAGCATGTTGGTGCTTAACATCCTGGCTAAGAAAATTAGTCCCATAGGAAGGGAAGAGTCAGAAACCATGGTGAGAAGGACACTGTGTGTCGCCACACTCACCTGGCCTCTCTGTCACCTATGGTGGCTGATCTATCTCAGGCCCCATCTTGGATAACTCAGGCTGCAATGTCTGGCTGCTGCTTTTGTGCCACCAATCACGTGGCGTGCCAGAGCCTGTCCACATTCCCTGCCCTCTCCCAGTTGCCCCAATAAGTACACGACTGCAGCATCATGGGAAAGCTAGTATTGGCCTCTGGCCACAACCAGGAAGCAGGCATGGAGATGAATCCCAACCACAGGGGCTGTGGCCTGTACTCTGGCCTCTCCCCTTCCCCACCTACGACTCATTCATCAGCTCACTTATGCTGTCAACCATATGCCACACACTGTACTACACAAAATGGTAGGAAGCCAGGTCTCCACCTGAAGGCTAAGTAGATGAAGCCATCTATTCACTCCACAGATATTTATCGAGCACTTTCTGCACGGCAGATACGGCTCCAGGTCCCAGGGACATAAGGACAGACCAGAATGCCTGTTCTCTAAGGTGGCAGGCTAGTGGGTATATGTATAGTGAGAAGGGAGGGGACAGGCAATAAAGTAAATATTTAAACTGTATATTAAAGGAGGACAAATGCTATTAAAATAAGTTGGGAAGGGGGATGATAAGTTCCAAAGTTGGGGAGGGATATTTGGGGTTTATTTTATATTTTTTAATGTTTTGCTTTATACCTATGGGGTACAAAGTGATGTGAAACATATACAGTGTGGAATTATTAAATCAAACTGATTAACAAATTCATCACTTTATTTAACTTTTTTTTTTGAGACAGGGTCTCCCTCTGTCACCCTGCCTGGCCTTAAATTCATGATTCTTCTTCCTCAGCCTACGGAGTACCGTGATCACAGACAGGCAGGGGCCTCTACGACTGGACCTTTTTTGTGGTGAGAACATTTGAAATTTATTCTCTTTGCAATTTGGAAATACAGGTGCTTATTAATTTACAGAGAGGCTACATCCTGATAAACCCTTAATAAATTTGAAAGTATCATAAGTTGCAAATGCATTTAATACATCTAGACTACTGACCCTTGTAGCTTAGCCTAGAACACTTGAATTAGTCTATTTTTGGGCCAACTCATCAAACACAAAGCCCGTTCCATAATAAAGTGTTGAATCTCTCATGGAACTCAATACTGTGCCAAACGTGAGAAACAGAGTGCTTGTGTAGGTCTGCTTTGGCACTGTGGTAAAGCTAAAAATTTCTAAATCAGGGACCACATGCATACAAGATACTATTATCAACTGCGGTCACCATGCTCTGCAAAATATCTCAAATAACTTCTTATTCTGAAAGGGGAATTTTGTCTCCATTGTTCAAGCTGGACTTACTATGGGGAAATTCCCTACTTGAAATTTCCTTGCTCAACATGCCTGGGTCTGTCCTGCCTCGCATGCCTGGATATAGCTGAGCCCACTGCTAACACATATTCAGACTCTGTAACCAATAAATGTGTGTCTGATGTGCCTTATCTGTAACCCCGCCCCTCCCAAAGGGTATATCCTCCTCTGCTGAGTGCTGCACTGGGCCAGTCCCCCCGGTCCAAATGCAGACTGGTTCACCAGCATAAATAAAGCTTTTGCTTTGTCTCCGCTGCTCCTGGAGTGCTTTCCATCCTTTCAGACTAGTGGTAACAAGCTCATTCAACTGAATGGGGAGTTTTGCCATTTCAATTTCTCCTAAACAAACTTGGCAATAGAAGGCTGTGCTTACTTTGTGGGCTCTTTTGAAACCATCTTTTCAGGAATGTTCATGCAGCAAACTGCCTTGGAAGACAGAGAGTGTCTCCCTCCAGGGCGGAGGGCAGATTTCTCTGCGGTCCATTGTAGTAGAGATGTTGACAGGTTTGCTTGCAGCCCATAGGGAAAGCCCAAGGTCTCCTAAACTCAGGGATCTTCTGTTGTGATGTCCAACTCCCATTTGGGCTCACTGTATGCTACCATGTGGGGACTTAGGTGACCAGAGATGCCAGTGGACATGACAGTCACACTGCTCACTGTGTAGTAACGAAGTCCTTTGTTTTTATAGTCTTGTGTCTTCTGCCTCAATCTATAAACTGTGCTGAGGTTACCTTGTTAGTTTTAAGTAGGGCAAGAAGATCCTTCACAGTTTTTGACAAAGGGGTGAGATCAGAGACAAAGAATAAATAAATTGGGCCAGACATTTAGCTCAGTGGTTCGGCCACTTGCCTCACAAGCTCAAGGCCCCGAGTTCGATCCCTGGTATCAAAAAAAAAAAAAAAAAAAAAAAAAAAAAAAAAAAAAAAAAAAAAAAAAAAAAAAAAAAAAAA